GAATAAAAACTCCACTTTAGCTTTATCTTTAGAGGAAACCATATTGTCTCTTTAGTTTTGGTTTAGCTCTAAACAAAATTGCCTCATGTCATGTGGTTGTGATTCTGTCTCATTATAAGACCAGATTTGTAAGAAAACAGAGACTTTGATCTGCAAAGAGTTGTTCAAACTTTAGCAAGAAATGTTAAATATACTAAAAATGTAAACACTATGGTTTATTTGAGTTTTAGTGTGTACTAAATAAAAGCAAATGTTTGCTAGCTCAATTTTAACTTCAATGCCTCTAACATTTATAAATACTGTTCTTCATTGTTTGCTGATTATACTAACATAAAAAAGAGGGGGAAAGTGAAATAAAAGCCCAAGTGAGAAAAAACGAAAGGCCATCATTTTATGATTCTAACATCCTAAATATGTTCTTAATGGAGAAAAGTTGGAGTTTGTATATGTTTCCTAAGAACGAAATGGATTCATGTCTGCAAAAAGAAACCAACTATTAATAAGTTAATATTTTACTAGTTAAAATTATACCATTTTACTGTAAAGGATAGTCATTTGTTGATTTAGGAAAGAGCTAAAATCTAAATATCAACCAATGTTAGGTGAAAATACTACTTGCTATTGAACTCCCAAAAAAGGCAGTCCACATGTATTGCAAATTCAAACTGAAAGTCAATAATGGATTTCATAAACTAAAGATATTTTATATCCCCTATCAACCAAAAAATTTTATTGATAATAGGTGAATGAACAAAACATAAATTTATTAATAAAGGTTTCCTCTTTACCTATTTTATATAAAATTGGGGACCTTCATGATATATGTAGTTACTCTAAAAATGATACTGGAAATGATAATTTAGAGCAGTGCATCTCAGCAGTCAGGTGCTTGTGGATTGTATAGAGATCTTAGGATGCAGATTTTGATTCTTTGGATCTGGGTGAGCCCCAAGACTTGGCATTTCTTGCAAGTCCCTCTGCCAATATTGTAGTCAGAGGACCATACTCTGAAAAGCAATACCCTTTAAGTGCCTCCAATTAAAAAGCACAAATTCTTGACTTTCTTGCCACATTAAGCATTTATACTTGTGTACAACATGGACATTTAGGTTAGACATTGGTAATTACAGAGAAAATCAGGCTCTTTTTCTTGGATAGGATCTATAAGAAGTTCCTATAAGAAGACCTATAAGAAGAAGACTTGTTCTGAAAGTTCTACCATCAGTAGAAAGGCCATGTCTTATACCAGCACCTCAGTGCTCCCCTTCCTGCACAAAGTTAGACCTAGACAGGACACATTACAAGAGGCATCAGTCACCCCTCTTGTGGAGATGGCCCACCATCCCCAGGCCCACTGCCAAGTGGAGAATGCTAAGCAAAGAGCTTGGCAAACACAAGATCCTAAAGGGAGGTTCTATTGTTGTACACCTTGAAATTGTGTCTTCCTCCACGTGTGCTACTGCTTTAATGTATTTTACTCAATTTCTGCATCAAATTCATTAAATTTAAATTGGTGTTTCAACTTTCCAATTTTTTGTTCCATTTATTTTGACTTTTCTAACCTGAACACAAAACATCTATCTAGTTATACCTTTTTTTTAGTTTTTTTATTTTAATTTTTTAATTGACACATAATAGATGTATGTATTTGGGGGGCACATGTGATAATTTAATACGTTGATATAATTTGTAATGATCAAATTGGTATAATTGTGATATCTATCACCTTAAATATATTTGTCTCTTCTTCATGCTAGAAACATTCAAATTATTCTCTTCTAATTATTTTGAAATATAAAATAGAATATTGTAAACTAATATCACCGTACTTATCTATCAAACACTAGGTCTTATTTCTTCTATGAAATGGTATATTTGTACCTATTAATCAACCTTCTTTTGTCCTCTCCTCCCTCCTACACTTTTTGGCCTCTGGTAACCACCAATCTACTCTCTATCTCCATGAGATTAACCATTTTAGCCCCCACATATGACAGACAACATACAATATTTGTCTTTCTGTGCTTGGCTTATTTCACTTAACATAGTGATCTCCAGTTTCATCTGTGTTGCTGCAAATGACAGGATTTCATTCTAGCTTATGGCTGAATAATATTCCATTGTGAATATTATACCACATTTTCTTTATTTTGGCTACTGTGAATAGTGCTACAATAAACACGGAAGTGCAGGTATCTCTTCTATGTATTTTCTTTCTTTTGGCTATACACCCAGTAATGGAATTGCTGAATCATACGGTAGTTCTCCTTGTAGTTTTTGAGGAAGCTCCATACAGTTTTCCATAGTGGCTGTACTAATTCACATTCCTTTCTTTCCTTTTGTTACTCCTCCTCCATGTGCCTTTGGCAAAGTTTCAACCACCTCCAAATAAGTGTGCAAACCAGAGATGTTAGAGCCTTCAAGAGGTGCTATGCACTCTGATTTTCCTCTCCCAGTGATATTTGGAAGCAAGTGAGATTTTAAGTATGAGTATGGATCTCAACAAATGAATGGACTGTGTAGCACATTCAGGTGGCCACTCATAACAGTTTTTGAATGAACTTGCACATGCAAGAATATTTAGAGAAACAGATTCTGTCTTGTTGAGAAGTAATACTCAAACCAAATATTTTATGCTGCTGTGATATCATCACCAAACTATTTCCCAGTTCCCTTCACCTGCAACAGATTCAGATGGCTAATTTAGTGACCACTGTGGTTTGGCTTCAGACCATGTTTTATGGACATTTCCACGGTTTATCTGAGAGTTCCCAAATAGTTTGCAGTCAGTCCAAAGTTCTGTGACACAGAACACCCTTGGATACCTCCAAAAATAAATCCAGAAGTCTAAAGGGTTTTTCAAGGGAAATTTACCATACATGTTAATTGTCGGGACAACACTCTGCGTAATGATTTACACAAATAATGACCTAATGAACATTTGTCACATGAATGAATGCAGACCTAGTATAGATTGGTCTTTCAATAAGAACAATGATTATGTCTTTTTTTGTGCACACCCATTATAAAACACATGTTTCTCATTTATTAGGATATCAACAAATGTTTGTGAATGAAAATACACAATTGCACTAGGTTTATGCAGTTTTACCTTCACGTTCAGGGTGACTGAATTGACACACAATATCTCTCTACCAATGAAAAACAAAAACTATTTTGATAACATGTTATTTATTATCTTGGTTTTGTGGACATGACCATTGAACATATGTAGACTAGAAACCCTACAGGTAGATGGAGAAAAGCCTGAGTGGGTGTTTCATACTGTATCGTAGACTGATTTCAGACTATGTTATAAGACCATCTTAAAACTCACTTCTTCCATGTAAGTTTTCAATGGATGTCCTTCACTGGAGCCTTCTTCCTAGAGGTAAAGAGGAAGAGAGGTTGAAAAATTTAGGAGAAGGGGAGAAAAAGAATGAAAATATCATGAAGAATAGTGAGATCTGAGAGCAACACCAAATTTTCACTATCCACCACCTTCTCAGCTGATACTTGAGGGATTATCAGTTTGTCAACTTCTTACTCTTTGAAGGAAATGATATTTTTTTCAAGACAACAAGATAGCTTTTAGGTGGATTTAGGTCATGTAAACAAATAACCAGCTAGAGTAGCTAACTAAATCTTAGGACAAGATGCTAAACAAATTGTATAAAATTTTCTGTTATGAATTTCATAAATATATTCTTAGAATTAGATTAAGCAAAGAAGTCACAAATTGTATTCTATACATTCGTGTGAAGATCTAACACATGAACTTAAAAATATTTTATGGAAAGAGGACAGATCATTAACCTTTATATCCAGTCTTTATAGCCAATCCTTCTTAGCTTACTAGTATGTAATTAGTAAATTCCCCATTATTTGTGCCTTGTACTAGCAGTTCATTGAGCACTAGCATTAACTGAGATTTAAATCATCGAAATCTAAAACGTCAAGTTAAATATATATCCCTAACTCATCTAAGCATCGTTAGTCAAAATTGCCAAACAACTTGTCAGTGTGGATAAATTATAATTTTATACTCCATGGCCACAGATATTTGGAAGTAAATTCTGAGATATCATGAAATGATAAATTCTAGAACACCATATGTGTTTAAAAGACAACTAAATAATGTGCATAAAGCTTACATTTGTTTCTATAGGATATTTTCTAACTGTTCAAGTACCCTTACATATATTATCTTATTGAGGGAAAGACATCCTTAGGCCAATTTGATACTTAGGAAAATCGAGGCCAGGAAGAGTGGCGGGAAGTGCTTAAAGTCAATGAGCTAGGCAAAGCATTGCTGGGACTCGATTCCAGTCTGATGCTCTTCTACGTCACTGAAATAAAAAATTTTAAAACATAAATTAAATTCATCTTAGTTTAAAAAAAAACTTCTGATGTATGGACCAAAGCATTTGGGGGAAGGGGAGGGGAAGCATGCTCATGCCAAAACAAAAATTAAGCTAGGAATCAAATGCTGATATTCCTAAAAACTTAGAAATCACAGGTCAAACCACAGACGTGATAGTATTTCTTCCCAAATGATGGTTTCCACTAGTGAAAAATTAATATGTTGTAGTTTAAATGTTTCCAAATGCTTCCAAGATTGTGGGATTTTCAATGGATAAAATAGTGAAAGAGATAAGATAGTTCTATTTACTTAAACTAAAGAGTAAAATATTTGGAAAAATCAAATCCATATAAATCCTCCAAACTGTGAGAAATTTATGTCAAAGTACCCAGAGAGAGGTTGAAACTTACTTCAGATAAACTACGTTTTGGACTTGAACTTGCTACACTCTCTCCCCTCATTTGAACAACTAATCTAAAAAGAGTGCTACAGGTTCTTCCAGTGTGGCTTTTCCATGTGACGGAACTAGTCCCTTTGTGTGCTAATAATCCCTACCCCTTTGCCTGGGTTGCTAGGAGTAAGAGGACAAGGCGGCAAACTGCCTGGAGTTGTAGATGTGCTTTCTGGCGCAGCCAGCATGGGAGGCTTGCCTGGCTCGCTTCTGAATATTTGAGGGCTAAGAGTGAGATGCAAGAGAGAAGATCCTGGGAGCCCACTGAAGAGGGCGATCTGTTTCCTTTGAGCTAGAATGCAATGGTTTTTCCAATTTGGACAATTACAGTCTTCTGCTAAGACCTGTGGTTACTGAGGGTTTTCTTGATGATCAAATTTAAATAAAGCAGCCTTCTTGAGAGCTTTGCTGCTTCCCATAGTACCAGATCTTTTCAATATCTACACCTTAGAAAAGGAGAAACCCATACAATAGCATTTGTTTCAAAGGCCATATGTACTACCCAAGTTTGGCTGCTACCGTCATCCAAAAATCACAGTTGTGGTGGCCCTGATGAATGAGGACCATAAAGAAAAAGACTCTAGGAGGAAAATAGAGAGGAAATTAACACTTTGCTGAGGTGATAACAAACGTGACACAAGGCCAAATGGACAAAGCAAAGAATAAGACATCAGAACCTCTGATTCTTAGGGTCAGAAGAGATGGCCCCAATCAAGAGACTTGACCCACTATGTCTGTCTCAGCTTCCCTGTTTCCAACATGGGACCACCGAAATGCTGACATTCCCTCCTTCTCCCACTGGGGGCGCTAATGAAATAAAATCCCTTTCAAAACAAAAAGATATCAATTTCAGTCATCCTTTTCTTAATTTTAAAGAATTAGCATTTTAAATATCAAGTCGGTTTAACAACATAATATTTTGGTAATTACCTGGAAATGAATCAAAAATGCCCAAATGCAATTTCTCTTGAAAAGCAAAGAGGGAAAGGGGGTTACAAGGGAGGCAGACAGGGGCATGTGAAGGAGAGAAAAGACAGAATACATAGAAATTAGGCCTTAAAAAAAAGGCAAAAAAAGTTATTCCTGAAATGTGGTTGCACTTATCACGAGTTCTAAATATAATCACAGTTGAGATAAAAATGTTTTTGTTTTTTTTTTTTTTGAGACAGAGTCTCACTCTGTTGCCCGGAGTAGAGTGCCATGGCGTCAGCCTAGCTCACAGCAACCTCAAACTCCTGGGCTCAAGCAATCCTACTGCCTCAGCCTCCCGAGTAGCTGGGACTACAGACATGTGCCACCATGCCCGGCTAATTTTTTCTATATAGATTTTTAGTTGTCCAAATAATTTCTTTCTATTTTTAGTAGAGACGGGATCTCGCTCTTGCTCAGGCTGGTCTCGAACTCCTGACCTTGAGCGATCCACCTGCCTCGGCCTCCCAGAGTGCTAGGATTACAGGCGAGATAAAAATGTTTTAAATGTGAATTAGAAAATATATTGTAAACTCAGAGGAAAAAAGGGGGAAAAGAGACTGATGTAATTACTGCTTAACATGTGACATGGGATAATGGCTGCTAGGGATGAAGGCTCTTGTTGTTCCTCTGGATATTTTACAGTTAAGGAAACATTCTCAGTGAGATAGAATATCCTAGAAAAAGAGGTAGGACTAGACTCACATTCTGCTGGATCTATTGCCACTTTTTATTATACCATGCTTCTCTTGTTTCAATCAATAAGTGTTTTCTATTCATCCTTCACGAATCCTTAGATGAAATGCAAACAGACTGGCACTTGCATGCAGGCTATGTTTATTCACAAACATTATATGTCTAAGACCTCTGGTATTACTTTCCTTTTTTAAAAAACGTTTCATGAGAACTCTACCAGTATGATCTTCCTTCCCACTTTTTTCCAATGAAACTAAACAATAATCCTAACACAGAGAGCAGCATCTTAAGAAGTACCTACCTGATATATTTGGAATGCATAGAAGGATGAGTTCTTGATAGGAATGGCCAGTGTATTTTTAAACCCAAAGGGACTCATAAAACTTCACCCATAATTTATTCCACAAGTACTTATTAAGCACCTATTTGTGCCACATACTGTGCTAGGTGCCGGGACAAAGAGTTGAACAAGAACTAATTCTTAACATAAAAAGTTTATCTTGAGAAAACAAATATACAGGTGTTTAGAAGGCAGGGCAACAGTTACTTCATGCAAGTAAGACCAAGATGCTATGGGGGAAAAAAAGAAGAAAAAACACCAAAGTGTTTGTTTATTTAACAAGCATGTATTGAGAACTCCAATGTGCTGAGAACTGTTGTAACCACTGCATACATGTGATGAAGATGACAAAGTGAAAGGAGTAACAGAGTAATGACTGAGGAAATTATTTTTAAGCTTAGTCCTGAAGACTTAGTCAATTAGGCAGATGAAGGAGCTGACTAAGGAGAAGAACACATATCAGAAAGAAGGAAAATTTTGTGCAAGGGCCTAGACACAACAGAGAAAATATATGAAACCACAGGTATTACAATGAGGAACACCAGTTATACCAGGCACTAAAATGCATACTGTATTTTCAGATACAGAGATATTAACATCATGGATCACTTTCTAATTTCATACTACAATTTCCTGCAATATAGCTGCTTATATGATGAGTATACATTGTGTTTTCTAACTGCATTATTACACAGGGTTATAAATTGTTGACAGATGAGGAAGAGATTGGCAACCACTTGGCAACCACTACAGGCAATGAGTATTATTGATGTTCAAGAAAACAGGCAGTGATCAATTTCCATTAACAAAAAACTAGGCGCAATATTTTAGAAACTCAGAAATATTTGAAAAACTCAAAAGACTTTGAAATCATTGATATATTGAATAAATTAATAGTTATGTTTGCTTTCAGACCTGGATATATGAACAGACCCTGTTTCTGTTTAAATGTCCCATGTCTTTTCATATTAAACTTAAAAAGCTTTTTGAAAATTTGTCCACAATTTTCTGAACAAATGTAACACCAGTACAGACCATCTTTCTCTGAAAATGACACCTTTAACCAATAGAGAAGATACTTCACTGCTTTAGCCTTGCTAAGGACCAAAGATAATGGCATTTTAAGATAAGATGTTATGATTCACTCTGAAATTTACATTTTTTCTTCCAGTTTTTCATGTTAAGCTAAATAATTCCTTTAGTGGTAATGCTTTTGCATTAGAGATTTACCTTAGAATGAAAAAGAGTAGGAACAATTATGTTACTAATGACTATTACTAAGAGTGTTAAATTTTAAATGATTTAAGACATTTTAGTGTTCTTTCTTGTTTTCTGAAAAGTGACTATTCAGTTGCAAAAGAGTATTTTTATTCTTCCCTTTCCTTCAATAACATAGGAAAAAGGGAGAGGGCAAAGACAGAAACAAGAGGCTCCATATTTGGAAAAGGGGTGGCTTTTATCAGTGGATGTTGGACAAGAGAAGTGACGGAATAAGAGGAGCTGACTGTAAGAATGAATGGCTAGTGTTAATGATTTTTAGTTGCACTGACTCAGAGAATGACTGAA